ATATAAAGATAATGAAATTGGATACATTACCGCCATCCTAAAAATGTGAACATTTGTTCCCTACAACGTCACTTTTCTAAAAATGCATGAAATAATTTCTTCCTGGTTATTTGCGACAAGATCTCTTTTGACAATTTATTTCAAGAATTTCAATAAGAAAATTGTTTAAGTCTCAGTAATATGAAATAAAAGAAAACAGTTTTATCATAAATGCCTTTTCTCCTTTTATCAATGTTTATGTTAAATAACAACATTACCTAAAAAGATATGTGATGTTTAAGAAAATATCAACAATGTTATTGATAAACTAAATGATGTTTTACATTTTTACAAACTCACGGTATGGAATCACGTATTTTTTTTTATTTTGAAAATGTAAATATAAGGCATGTTGAATGTTGACTGGTCATTTTGTTTTCTAGTACACGTGAGAAAAAGGATAAAGGTAACGAACACATGTACTTTTATTGTTGATAACTCCCACGCAAACAATATCTGAACAACGTGATTCCCTACTGATAATGTAATTCAGTGCCCACTTGTGTGACGGCGTTACACTAGCTAAAACTTATATTGATTACTGTATATGCTTACTTATTTGTTTCGATATTTTGCCCTTTGCTTTAAACTTTAATGCATTAATGAATAATGACAGTCCGGTAATAATACTGTATATAATTATAATAATATAGAATGTAAGGGCAATCTTAAGAGTGTTTATATAATAATAGGGCTATTGTTAAGAAAATCGTCTTTGAATGTCATTTTCATAGCAGTGTCAACAAAAAAGATAAATAATAGCTATTGTCCAACCTTTTAAAAAGAATTTAATGAATTTTCCTCTCTTATTTTCTTTTTAATGATATGCCGAAAGAGTTTATTTGAAACAATGTCGCGGGTCTTGTTGTTTTGTTCAATAACGGTTATCTACGGTGGCACAGAGGATACATGTGTTTTTGTGTGTGTGTGTGTGTGCTTTTATTTATTTATCTCATGTGCAGAAGTTACTCTGTAGTAACATGGTGTCGTAACAAATGTTTCAGCATTTAGTATACGTTTGCCACATTTAAAATTGACTTGTGAGACGATAACTACGGTGGCACAGAGGTGACATGTGTGTCTTTATTTATTTATCTCGTGCGCACGAGATACTGTGTCGTTGCCACAAATCATTAAGTCGTGGGCACGAGATAATTAATTCGTGGCATGAGGTACAATGTCTTGGCCACGAGTTACTTAGTCGTGGGAACGACTTAATTATCTCATGTGCACGACTTGTTAACTCGTGGCCAGGACATAGTATCTCGTGGCAAAGACATAGTAACTCGCGCCCACGACTTAATTATCTCGTTCCCATGACTTAGTATCTCTTGGCCATGACATAGTATGTCGTTCCCATGACTAAGTAGCTCGTTGCCGCGACATAGTGTCTCGTGCGCACGAGATAAATAAAACACACATGTTACCTCTGTGCCTACCTAATACGCTGATATTCAACGATGTTTCTTTTTATGCTTATTTTTGTAAACGCATTTTTAATTTATAAAGTTCCCCTTTGAACAAATGCTCTATATCAGAATAAAATCAATGTTCGTTACTATGTCGTTACAAAAGGATTTGTGAAAAAAATACAAATGAGATTGTTGAAAGTATAAAATAAGACGTATACGTAAAGAGAATAATTTTGAATAACATTTAAAGGAGGAGATCACGTTATTGAAATAGCAAAATTATGTAAATATGTGCTGAGAACCAATCATTTGGATTATATTACAAACCTTCACTTCGTTTCTTGTTTGTTTGTTTGTTTTTGTTTTTTATCAGGAATAATCACATATAACAATCTAGATCACTTTTTGACCTGCCACTTTTTAAGTGTAAAAATGTTTCATTTCCTTCAGACCAGCAATATCTAGACCAGGTACCTGTTCAAGTAGCACAGCATATCCAAACCACTATAGATGTGTTTTGACATCAGAAAATTCTTTAGCCGATAGAGAATATACACACAATGTACATTCTTCATGGAATAATCAATCATCACGAAATCTGATCCTTTAACAGGGTCTTTAAAAATTGGTGTTCAAATATGACACATAAAAAATATGCTTTCCTAAATTTTGAACTTCAATACGAGAATAGGTATTATACTTATAGTCATAAAAGGGTAGATCAGCACGGAAGGGAGCGAAAGACAATACCTAGCCACATAAGACCATCGGAGTGCAACAACAAAAACAAGTGTACAAACTTTTCAAGGCCAGATAATCAAGTTTAATCTTAACCACACTATAGATGAAATTATTCAATCATGAACTTTGGTCAGAAACGGACGAGAATATTTGTACCAGAAACTTATGCCTGTAATAAGTAGATATTGCATTTCACATTTCTATTCATAAACGATTAATAAACTGAAAGAAAAACGCAAATAAGATTTAAAACGTGTAATGCATCGTAAAAATGACCCTTTTCAAGACAGCGTGATTGCGATGTTGCAGGAATGGTATCCACTTACACAAGTAAAAATTACTTCTTCTAATAGTAAAATATACTTATTAAATTGATGCTTTGAAATTGTACCATAGAATTGTCACCGAGCCGTTAGGCGAGGGTTATATTGCAAATAGCCGTTTATATACGGCCATATAACCTGTCAACAATCTTTATAACGAATTTATGATACAGCAAGCATCATTTTGTGGAGAAAAAGTAAGATATCGAAAGCAGCCGTGTATATAAATCTATATAAACGTCACGATTATCCAATAAAAAGCGACGTTACAAACGTGCAGTATTATAATTATTACTGTATGTGCTTACTTATTTGTTTAGATATTTTGCCCTTTGCTTTAAACTTTAATGCATTAATGAATAACGACAGTCTAACAATACTATATATAATTATAATAATATATAATGTAAGGGCATCTTAAGAGTGTTTATATTATCGTAGGGCTATTGTAAAGAGAATTATCTTTAAATGTTATTTCCATAGAAGTGTCATCACAAAAGTTGAATAATAGCTATTGTCCAACCTTTTAAAAAGAATTTAATGAATTTTCCTCTCTTTTTTTTCTTTTTGATGATATGCCGAAAGAGTTTATTTGAAACAATGTCGCGGGTCTTGATGTTTTGTTCAATACCGGTTATCTACGGTGGCACAGAGGATACATGTGTGTGTGTGTGTGTGCTTTTATTTATTTCGAGTGCAGGAGTTACTCTGTAGTAACATGATGTCGTAACAAATGTTTCAGCATTTAGTATACGTTTGCCGCATAAAATTGACTAGTGAGACGATAACTACGGTGGCACAGAGGTGACATGTGTGTCTTTAATCAATTTATCTCGTGCGCACGAGATACTGTGTCGTTGCCACAAATCATTAAGTCGTGGGCACGAGATAATTAATTCGTGGCATGAGGTACAATATCTTGGCCACGAGTTACTAAGTCGTGGGAACGACTTAATTATCTCATGTGCACGACTTGTTAACTCGTGGCCAGGACATAGTATCTCGTGGCAAAGACATAGTAACTCGCGCCCACGACTTAATTATCTCGTTCCCATGACTTAGTATCTCTTGGCCATGACATAGTATGTCGTTCCCATGACTAAGTAGCTCGTTGCCGCGACATAGTGTCTCGTGCGCACGAGATAAATAAAACACACATGTTACCTCTGTGCCTACCTAATACGCTGATATTCAACGATGTTTCTTTTTATGCTTTTTTGTAAACGCATTTTTAATTTATAAAGTTCCCCTTTGAACAAATTCTCTATATCAGAATAAAATCAATGTTCGTTACTATATTGTTACAAAAGGATTTGTGGCAAAAATACAAATGAGATTGTTGAAAGTATAAAATAAGACGTATACGTAAAGAGAATAATTTTGAATGACATTTAAAGGAGGAGATCACGTTATTGAAATAGCAAAATTATGTAAATATGTGCTAAAAACCAATCATTTGGATTATATTACAAACCTTCATTTCGTTTCTTGTTTGTTTGTTTGTTTTTGTTTTTTATCAGGAATAATCACATATAACAATCTAGATCACTTTTTGACCTGCCACTTTTTAAGTGTAAAAATATTTCATTTCCTTCAGACCAGCAATATCTAGACCAGGTACCTGTTCAAGTAGCACAGCATATCCAAACCACTATAGATGTGTTTTGACATCAGAAAATTCCTTAGCCGATAGAGAATATACACACAATGTACATTCTTCATGGAATAATCAATCATCACGAAATCTGATCCTTTAACAGGGTCTTTAAAAATTGGTGTTCAAATATGACACATAAAAAATATGCTTTCCTAAATTTTGAACTTCAATACGAGAATAGGTATTATAGTCATAAAAGGGTAGATCAGCACGGAAGGGAGCGAAAGACAATACCTAGCCACATAAGACCATCGGAGTGCAACAACAAAAACAAGTGTACAAACTTTTCAAGGCCAGATAATCAAGTTTAATCTTAACCACACTATAGATGAAATTATTCAATCATGAACTTTGGTCAGAAACGGACGAGAATATTTGTACCAGAAACTTATGCCTGTAATAAGTAGATATTGCATTTCACATTTCTATTCATAAACGATTAATAAACTGAAAGAAAAACGCAAATAAGATTTAAAACGTGTAATGCATCGTAAAAATGACCCTTTTCAAGACAGCGTAATTGCGATGTTGCAGGAATGGTATCCACTTACACAAGTAAAAATTACTTCTTCTAATAGTAAAATATACTTATTAAATTGATGCTTTGAAATTGTACCATAGAATTGTCACCATCGTAGCGTCTTGTATTGTGGGCTAGGATAAAATTTGTTCACGGTACACCGCACGCTGCGTTCTGTGTATCTGTGTATTTATATCAATTAACGCATATTCTTTGTATTTGTACTCCTGCATGAGTGGTTTCTATGCAAGAATTATTGACATAACCATACCAGTATTTCAAATGAATTGTCAAATATTTACTTTGGTAAATCGACAAACTCTTAATCAGTGTAGTAAATTGACTGTTTATATAAATAATTTAAAACACTAAGCATGTTAAAGTTTATTAGTACTTATTTACAAAATTAAATTGGTCGCGCGGAGCTAATAAACTTTAACGTATACATAAACAATAAGAAAATTACTGTCGTGTTTAAAAGCATAAGATTTAATGTTTATTCACCGAGCTGATTTAACTTCCTCATATATGGGTACATTAATGAATAAATAAATGTTTAAAAAAAACTGGCTACTTTATTCAATTTATAAATATCGGAATATCAACATGGGAAGTTGATGTAAACAAAAATACAAGGAAGTTTTAAACGTTATAGACATATATGTATCTTAACTGTAATATTTAAATAATCATGAATGTTTTCATACTGATCATTGGAATATTTATTTCGTTGTCAAAAGGTAATTATTTTATTGTATTTTATTCATGGAACGTACTTGTTATGTTTCATGAAAGCTACATCATCTAAAAAATAAGTAAAACCCCCAATACAACTAGGAATGTACTTTATTATACTACTTTCTAAAAGATTTTTTTTTTTTGTAATTTATACATGAAATATATATATATATATATATATATATATATATATATATATATATATATATATATATATATATATATATATATATATATATATATATATATATATAATAGATATGGAATTATTTTGAAGTGAAGAAAGGGGATATTTATAAAATGATTATACTAAATGTTAGATGGTGTATTATTATTTTTTTTACTTGAATTTGGGGTATGTAATAATAAAGAAATTCATACATATGAGCACCGTCATGCGATTTGGGGTCTTAATGACATAATGCGCAAACGTCATAAATGACGTCAAAAGTCATACCGGAAGAAAAGTGCGAAATTACACATGTTAATCTAGAAGTTTTGTTTACGATTATTATCGACAGGTTACACGTATTTTCATGGCGTAAAATGGCCGAAGAGCTAGAGGTAAGTTTCTTTATTCGTATTTTTTTTAAACAAATCTATGTTATGTTTTGAAACTGATTTCATTTGAATGTAGAAATCTTAAAAATGTTTTGAAGGTCAGTTGGTAATTGAAAACGAAAGTAGAATACATGAATCCCTTTTCACATCTGTTGCCCTTTTCAACGATTAAAAGTTTATCATGGTTTAGGTATAGACTAGCATGAATGTTTCGACATTCATCTTTTTCTCTAGAGCTATGTTTATTTGTTATCTAATAAATTTAGAGAAAAACAATTATTTACGGCTTTGCGAGCCTAATCCTAGATGTCGTCTATAATTATGAATAAGATGTTCACAAAAACATGAACCCTTAAACTTTGTTATATGGATTGTACATGTACATTATACATGTGATAACTAATTTGTTAAATAGCTGCAATTATTGTGTAAACTAAAAACTGTCGTCTGGGACCGCGCTGTTTCAGTTTAAACACTGCTATTGTATAAATATAATATTTTTTCTTGAATGAATGTTAATGCCTCTGTAGCTAAACGGTTACGCCGTTCGCCTTGCGTGCGGGCGGTTGAGGTTCAAAACCTGCCGTACATTCATTTTTTTAGACATTTTTTATATTATATTCACATGCTGATTAAACAAATAGCAAGCAGTTTAACAGTAAAATATCAAATTTTAAGATTGTGCATTGAATTTTTCTATTCAATAATCATATATGTTTAATAAAAGAGGTAGGATTAGTATATCATTTGTGTTTTATTTTCAGGAACTAGAGAGCCTTTTATCGGAGCATTTTGGCAGAAACACCGTTGACTACACCCTGTAATATCCAGGAAGATGTTAGTAGCGACAGCGGTTCTGTCCAAGACATCAGGGAAAATAATATAGTGGAGAGCAGGGTGCGAGACTTCCTTTACCAGGATAGAGGCGCAAGTACTGGTGCAAATGGTTGTTCGGAAGACATTGAAAGGGATGAAGAGCTTGAATGGTCCGATGAAGATGAAGTCTGTGATGATTATGTTGAACCAGATTCTGACCGCAAGCAGTTACACTTTATAAATCTAGTAAATGTTGTTAGGTTAGCGTGTAGCGGAAAATTCACTGAAGATCAGATATATCAGTACCTACTTAATATGAAAGAGATGGAAAAAGAAACAAAAGGAAATTTACATTATGGTCTGATAAATGATGAAAGATCTACAGAAAAAACACAACGTGGTAAAAAACGTCAAAGAATGAGAAAAAGAAAAGTATACGTTTCATGGTAACTGAAGTTTGTAAAAAAGACATTTCTACTTTGTCATGGCATAGGGAAGAAAAACGCTAAGTAGCTTTAAGTAAGCAAGTTTTTTCAGGAAGGTATTGCTCCACGTATACATGGAAATACTGGCAGAAAAACCCCATAATGCTATAAACCTTTGACGACGTTACAAAAGAGTTATATACATTTTATAAGTAACTTTGCTGATGAAAGAGGAATACACCAAGCCCCCGCACCAAGGGGACGAGATGATATTCCGCCAATTTATTAACCGTCCGATACAACAAAGGTTCAGATGCACAAGGATTACTTATTACTTGTACTGAAGCCATTTCCACAAATCAAGCACGTCTCGCTTTCTATGTTCAAAACTCTCTGGTCCACGTGCACGCCTCACATCAGAATAGCAACACCAAGAAGATGACGTCTGTAGCTACGTGCGAGCGAATGAGAAAGATGATATCAGACGCAGTGTCAGAGGAAAGACAAGCTGGAGGCCTTAGCTATTATGCGACAACACATTCTTTTTAGCTCAAAGGGTGAGTACTAGTTTATTATACATTAAAAATATTAATTAAAACATGTGAATTATTAATGTAAAAAAATTGATTAACAAGATTAATAATTTAATGTTTATCTCCTTTTTCTTGATTTTTTAATTATGTTAAATGAAAGTATAACGTTTAAAAGCTATGGAATTTGATACTATTCCAGTAAACAGGAATGTTTGATAAACCTTTAGTTGTGAAATTGCTAAAAAAACTTTTTTACATTTAAAAAGGAGAGGGACCGTACAACACATGTTTAAGAAGAAGTGCTGAGGAAGACGAATAACTTTCATTTTACCTTTTGATTTTTGCCAAAAACGTGAGTTTGCCACATCACGCCAGACAAATGGGACCGTTGTATTTTTCTAAACATTGCGAAAAGTACAAATTTTTTTGGTTTCCGTATAGACGGTATCCCTAAGCAACTGAAATTTTTTGATTGGATGAAAACGAGAAAACAGTGGGAGAGGATGGATCCAAAAACACATGGCCCTGATGCAGTTATTTCCATGGTTGATTGGGCACTACAGGAAACATTGTGTCAGAGCGAGAAAAGTTTTTCAATCCATGCTGATAATTGTCCAGGTAAATTATACACATTCTATTCTGTTAAAAAGGCGCATTTATACTTCAGAAGAAATCATTATTTTCTTTTAATTGTTTAGAAATTTAAAACATATTTAATAATGCTAAAAATTTATATATTTAGAGCATGTTCAATGTTAAACAAACTAAAAAGTAGTGCAAAAGTGTACAGTGATGTGGTTGTAAAAGAAGCAAAATATTAAAAGAGTAGTTATTTTTTGACTTCCATACAAATACTAATTCTAATAGAGCAAAAGAAGTTAAAGATAGTTAATTTTTTATAGCAAATGAGTATTTTGTAGAAACTGGAAAACTTGAATTACCGACAAAAAGTTTTTTTTTTGAGAAATAAAGTTGATTAGCACAATCTGAGGCATAATATGGGCCTTTTAAAAATGTAACAGTACTGAAATAACTAACTTCTCTTATTATCATTACAACTTTTATATTGATATTTTTGGTTTTATAAGACTCTTTTTTTATATTCAAGCTTAGTTTGCATTTGAATTAAAATTCCATAAAAAATATAGTTAATTAATCTGCGCGATAAAAATAGATGTGTTTTAATTGTTATTAAATGAACAAAATATCCCCGATAATACTAAATTATATTCATTCTCGCTTTTATTAAACAAGCAGTGAATTTTCATTTCAGGCAGAACAAAAATAAGTATGTGCTTGCTTATTTTATGTGGAGAAGTAAAAATGGACTGGTCAGAATGAAAAGTGATAGAATACTTAATGCAAATTCCAGGTAAGTTGGTAATATTCTTTACGCCACGAGTGATTCTACGTGCACCGTTTAAAAACGGAATCAAACGGAATCTATAATTTAATTTTGATTTACTCAAAAAAAAAAAAAAATAGGAACAGATTAATCATACATTATCGGGCTGAAAATCGCTTTTAATGTACGCACCTTGAGTTAAATTAAAATTGCGAATCCCAATGGCCCGATGAATGAAAGCGGTTTTTATAAAAGACACCGTGCTATGTTCTTCTTGAAACCAAGAACATCACGAACAATAAAACCGCTAAAAGGCATCTAGAAATTTTTAAAAAAACAAATTGGCGCTTGATATTTAAGTTTATGTTATTTCGGAAAATATTAAAAAAACATTCATTGTTAGTTTTACTCAAAAATGCTTTGTGCCTAAATGACATGCTAGAAATTCTCGTTTCTAACCTGACAAAGATTTTTTAGTATGAAAAAACAATGTGCAGCAATTTACACCTTTAAAATTAGCATGCTAAAATGTTTTAGGCCTTGTTATATTGAAAACAGGACACGCCCGGATGTTTAGTAGATTCCGGCTTCGCCCACATCAAGCGAGTATATAGACGAACAGATTTGTAGAGACCCTTGGACAGCTTGAAAATGTTGTAAACAAAATCATTCAAAACAAATGTTGCTGTCCGTTTTTCCACAATGGGCATGGAGCAAATTGGAAGTCATTCTTAGATGGAAAATTTAAAGCAGTGAAAGGAATAAGGTAGTAAACAGATGCAACATACATATACTGCTTTAATAATAATAATAATAATATTATACTTATAATACTAACATAGTGGTAGTAATGATGTTACAAATAAATAATAGAAATAATTATGATAAGAATAATATAAATAGGAAAGAAGTTCTCGTAACTGAGTTAAAAAATATGATTTAATCAGTATAACTTTCATAATAAGCTTAATATTGCTTAGCAGAAATGAGATGATGAGTTTTAATTTCAGGAAAATATCAGTACTTTTCCGGTTTACTGCAAGACGAACCAGGTATTGTTACCGTGCGGAAATTTCAATCTATGATCAAAGTGAGGAAAAGATTTCTATTTTAAAGAATCAGTCCCTCGCGTTTTGAATTGGCTGTCAGACCAGAACCAATACAACCAAAGTGGGCCCCTTTAGTCAACGCGGCAAACCTACCTTAACAACTCCGTACGGCCATACGTCAGACCAGCGTATAGAGACGAGTTTGTGGTGTACACAATTTGAAGCAAATGTTAAAATAGAGAAATAAAAATTATTGATTGATAAAACTTTATTTTTTTTTTGTTTCAAGAATCTTATATCCGTTTGATGTTTTAACAGACATCTCCATTGAATAAACATTTCGAAAAATGTTACAAACTCACGTACTCAGAAAAAAATCTCTTTGGCCATGATAATAAAATCATATAAAAATGTACCACTGCCATACCATTTACTTATTCATTATTTCAAGTTAATATGGCCTAATATGTTTTTCCCTCGTCAATAAATAGTATAATCATTTGAACACACCTGATGCAAGAAAAGCGGGAAACGATGACGTGATAAATGGGAAACATTGACGTCAATTTAGCGACGACAACAACAACGTCAATAAGTTTCAACATGACGTTGTGAAATAAGTCATATTGAAAAAAATAATAATTTTTTTTGCATATGAATTATATCGCTGGAAAGCATATTTCATGAGCTTTAATTTGATGTAAAAATCTCAAAATCGATAAAAATGTCATTAAGACCCCAAATCGCATGACTGTGCCCATATATATTTTCAAGATAATGGAATAGAATAAGGAAAAGGTTAAAACATAACCATCTAGAAAATGAGGCATACATGTTCATCAATTTAATAAATATTACGTTGATTTGACCTTATACAGGTGTTTACATTTCAAAGGTTTTTTTGAAAAACACATCTCAAAAATACATCGATACTTGAGTTAGCGTTCAGTAAAATTGTAAGCATCCATTGAAAGATCAAAATAAAATAATGATATGACGGGCACTTCCGTGCCGCTTTTGCGACTCCGTAAACACGGTATTGCACGACCGTGTATACATTTTCTTAGTTGTACAAACATAGCGTAAAGACTCGCTTGTTGTTAGCGTAATGAAAAATATTATTTTTGTCTTCATTTTGGGCATGTGATGAATGAAATATTATATTCGTGTAGGTTCATTTCTAATTATTTATATTTAACTCGTTGAATAAAGTAATATTGTGTTCAACAGAGGCTCGCATAACATAATTTTACCAAACTCGTTCAATAAATTCAATTTGGAATCTACACTGACTTAATATGAAAAATATATTTTAAAGTTTTACTCTCTGGTTTAAGGTAGTACAACCCTAATGCACTATCTCCACTGTGAAGAGTATTCAAATATGCTAGAATCACTGTAAAATGTATTGAAACTGAGGGGCGTGGGTTCAAACCCCGGAAGGGGCAACTTTTCTTTCTTTCTTTTTTTTCTTTTTAACATTTTTTATTAATCTCTCAGATCCCTAATGGAAGAAAAAAGTGTTTCATTTTAATTATGTAATTTTTGTAGGTATTTATTTACTAAATAATACCAAATTTAATAGCATATATGATACCAGATATTTTCAAAGTTTAATAAAATAAAAACTACACGGTAAAAGTATTTTATATTTTGCAAGACCAACCAATATAATTTAATAAAATTTAGGCAAACTTTGAAAACAGCCCCTCATTGTGGAAATTTTTAGGGATATTTTAAAAAAAAGGTTTTTACACATGGAAATGGTCAAATAAGTGTTAAAACTGGGTGGGGTAGGGTTACATTTTTATACATATTAAAAACATTTCGTTTAAAAACAATCATTTTGCTTGTTTAATTTGTTACCTAAATGTCATTATTTGTTTCTTAACAATGAGCAATAGGAAAACATTTTTCATAATGATGATATTATAGATTATTTAGTTTCCTCATATCTGAAAAAGCCCTTCTTATGGCAAAGTTTTAGTTAAAAAAATGTCCATTTATCATAAACCACACGGTAAATTTTGTTTAAATTTTGCATACAGGTGACATTTAAAGCATATAACTGTCCTATGTTGTCAATTTTACAGTTCCTTATAGTGCCCATTCGGGGTGTGCTACCTTAAGCCTGAAAACGGAATTTATTTTGTTTGGATATATCCCGTTTTCAGGACTTAACTAAGCGTAAAACTTTAAAAAAAAAATATATAAGGTAATAAAGCCAATATTCGGTGTGCTGCGTTATTTTTTATATTCTAACGATTTTTTAAAAATGAAAACATATTTGACCTTAGAATCGACGGAATGTTTACAAACATTTGTCCGATTGGGGGCATTTTTTTCGTGCGCGATGTCGTAGTATCCTACCATTGTTATCTATTTATAATAGCTTAATAGAGTTTTAAAGATACAAAACTGAAGCAATATTAGATAAATGATTAATCATTTCTTGCCTATAAATTGAAAATCATATGTACACATGCACTATGTATCAACAGTTAAAGAAAGAAAAAATTAAAACACGCACAAATGACATTTATGTTACAGTTCAGATACAATGTATGATTTGAAATAACATATTTGCCTTTTTTTTTTTACTAAACTTTGCTACATTTTCCCATTTTTTTCCTACATTTTTGATCAAGTTTATTGTTTTCTGTTGTCTGCTGCTTGTCACCGTGTTAACCTTTAAACTTAAACTTCCTGCTATCAAAAATTAAAAAAAAAATGGCGAATAACATTTAAATTTTGAATGCTTCGGATTTCTAGGTGCAAATTTATAACGTCCTACTCAGTATCAACAAACATGGTTAATACATGTTATACAAAATAACATATTGTAAATACTTTGAACACCGTTGGCATTTGTGTAATGAATACTTTCTTATCCACCATTGTACAACAATAAACATTATTAATTAAACCCTTGTCAAAACATTCTTATTAATAGTCCGTGGCAACAATAAACTCCTGGAAATACGAATCAACATCCATATATGTATCAACATCCATATATGTTATCGGAAGAATTGACATATGTGGGGCCCAATATCAAACCATGATGAAATTCTAATTCCGTGCACACGTGCTCGATGTAAATAAACAAGATATACCGAATGTGTAGATAATATATCCAATGAATAGCAGGATACCGCCGTGACGTCACAATGAGCAGTAGGTTCCTAATGACAAAATAAATAACTTGATAAACACAACTGTAATTTCAAAGATGAGATCCTTCTATCTAGTTGTATGGCAATGCAGTTATTCTGTACACCAATCATGAACGTTGGGCGCCATTGACGTTTGCCGGTCATTAGCTAGCTCAGGCCCTTCGCACAGACATTTGATAGATTGTTAAACCTGAATAGAACCACCGACGTTCCGTAAGCTAGCTGGATAGCTTCCTCACATGAAAGAATCCAAAGTGCCTGTCGGGATTAGAACCTACAGAGGTAAAAGGCAAGTCGGATACGGTGACGGAATGCAATAATGCATTACCGTACCCATAAATATCACTTTGTGTAAACAATTGTGAACAATTAGTACATGATACTATAGGAGTATAATAATAGGATAACGGGACAAATAGATTTTGAATGACTGAAGTAAAGTGCAGGTTGGTGTGAGAGGAGAATATGTTGACCTAATACGATACACATTTTGCGTTTAAGGATTAAAGATTGAAAACGACAACCAGTATTTATTCATATTATATGTAATAGAAAGAGCACCGAAACACGAGGCTATCTGATTTGTACGAGGGGGCGTAGCCCCCGAGTATTAATCAGATTGCCGAGTGTTTTGGTGTTCTTTCTCTTTTGTATCATAGTCAAACATAAAAGCACGTTCCCTGTTGTCACAATATGAAACCCCGGCAAAAATGAACCAATGAACGAACATCTGAATATGATATTTCTGCCGCTTTCCCTTTCTCTGCCGTCACAATATGTAAACCCCAGCAAAAATGAACCAATCAATGGGCATGATCTGGAGTGCGGGTAACTGATACCTGCACTCCAGTTACCGCACTGTGCATGTATATGTATACGATTTAACTCTGACACATTTTCAACAGAAAGGTCCCCAAACTATGATACAATTATAAATGATAACTACCCTAATGGCACGTATATTTTCATATTTAAGTATGTACTGCATGTACAAAATGCCAATCTCAAACAGATTCCACTAGACAAACAACACTGTTAAATACACATCGTTAGTAAAAATAAAACTTAACACATACATTAAAATGCATAAATAAATGTAGAAAAAGAAAAGGATAATATTTTAATTAAGAACACACAGCTTTAACATTATATTAACAGTGTGATGAAGATACAGTTCTAACATGTTATGTTACTGGTAATATTGGAGATATTGACTGGTATGAATTTGATACAGATGTTGTAATATGGGATCAGTTTCATTGTTTTATTATTCTATTTAGTTGAAGGTACAACAACTATTCTAGTACCAAGTGCTGGTAACTGTGGGGACAATACAGTCCTAACATGTCAGTTTACTGGTAGTATTGGCTATACTAGCTGGTATGGATTGAACAAAGATATTGTAATAAATGGAGGTGTTGTAAGACCAGAAGACAACAATAAATATACAGAAACCAGGAGAACATCATCATTGACATTGACAATACACAACACTAGCATAACTGATGAAGGAGATTATAAATGTAAAAATGGATTTGATGAGAGTCAGCTAAAACGTTTAAACGTTGAATGTAAGTTGTTTTTGTACAAAGCTACACTAAGATACAATTTATTTTCAGTTTAATTTACTTTCATTATTTTAATAATGTAAGATAGTTATCAATTTGAATAATACATGTGTTTCAGAGCAATAGAGAGATACTGTGTTATTATTTATTATACCGAACCAACATTTTATTTTAATGTAGCAAAAAGTTTACATTAGCAGAGGATAGGGGAGACAACTAGAATATTACGTTTCCTTAAGTCTATCTAGAATTACTCGCTTCTGGGGAATATGATACATCGAAATAACAAATAACAAGATACAAGAAAGATACAAGAAAATTTATTTTACGTCGGATACATTTAAAAAGAAAACACTAGCTCATGAGCTATTTTCCGACAAACAATAGTATACAAATGTATGTATTAACAAAAGTAAAGCAGCTAAAATAAAATATAAGCATAAGCACATTTAAGTACATGGGATTAAGACATTAAAGCAACTAAAAATTATAAGCATAAGCACATCTAAATACATGGATTTAAGATACTATAGCACCATAGCATGTTTAAAAGTTGCAAGAATTACGAGCAAGATAAAACAAATAACAGATATATATAAATAATGCACATTCCTGTAAAAGTGTTATATATTAGCTAAAGACAGACATGTATAAAAATAAGCATAAGCACATCTAAGTACATGAAATTAAAATTAAAAATAAGTGTAAATCTACAAAAGTTTCAAGAAAAATAATACAAAAAAGTAAGTTATACATATACACGTATGTACATACCTGTAAAAGAAATATAATAGATAAAAATAGACATATATATAAAAACAAGGAAAATGCACGGGACTATCACATAATGCAAATTAAAAGTAACACTAAGCATTTTATAATCATAACGTTGCAACATCTAAAGACTATACATAGAAGCACATATAAACACATGTTAAACACATGCAAGCACATGTTAAACACCAAAGTGTTTAACAAAAGGCTACAAACGACACATTGAACACTTACATTTTGGGCCTGTCCAGGTGCCAACCAGCCTCCCAAATTCTTTGAAGTTTTCTACTCTTCTGATGTCACTAGGGAGGCTGTTCCACATCCGTGCAGCCTCAAAACGAAAGGCGTTCTATCCATTCCACGTGGTTTCGTACTGTAGGCACTTCAAGTGTATGATCAAACCTGCAATTGTAAACAAAGGTCTTAAACTTGGCCAAGTTTTGAATATATTTTGGTGATATATTATGTAAGCACTTGAAAGCGTCGATGACAATTGTTTTTAACCTGCTTAAATGGAGTGTGGGTAGTTTAACCTTATTAAGGAGACTTTCGTATGATGATGTAAAAACATTGAAAATAATGCGTAAGGCCCTGTACTGGAGTTTTTCAAGTTTGTCAGTGTAGGTTTTACTACAGAAATGCCACACTATCGGACAGTAATTGAAGTTTGACATGATAAAAGATTTAAATATGATAAGCCTGGTAGATACAGATAGGAATTTACTTAATCTTTGCAGGACATTTAACTGTTTTGCAGCTATTTGGCAAATGGCTGATACCTGGGCATCAAAATTTAATTGATAGTCAATATCTACTCCTAGTAATTTGACCTGTTCATCACATGGGATAGTGCTGCCGCTTATATCAAATGACTCAATTTCAGTATGTAACTTAACCCCTACTGAAATAGCTTGAAACCTTTCAGGATTTGTCTGCATTTGGTTGGATTTAAACCAATTTATGAGGATATTACTATCATCCTCAAGGGCAGATTTGACAACTGTATCATTTTTATGCCAGAAGGACAAAGTTTTATCATCCGCCTAATATTGATCCTTGAGGGACACCCTTAATAATATTATCCCACTGGCTGGTATAATACCCTAGTTTAACCCTTTGTTTCCGCTTTTGGAGATAACTGCTCAAAAGTTTACAAGCGTTATCAGACAAGCCATAAGCCTTCACACACACTTGGGGTGTGGAGCTTAAAACGCCTTTATAATCCAAATAAAATGTATATTTGTCAATCTCAGCACATGTACTGTTCATATATATATAAAAACACTTAATATAAGCCGTTTTGAAAAAAAAAATCATATTTCAACGTCTATAATAATACACAAGATAAAAATGTTCGCCGTAAAATATCCGCACACCTACCCTCAACATCACCATGTATTTTATTCCATTTCCAATATTTTCACATAATCCTTTGGTCCATCGACACAGAAGATATAATTCTTCACGATAATTTTACTCCATTTACAAACTATTTCGGTAAATTCAAACGTGGGCCCAGCTTTGCCGTGTGCCAAATGCGCTGCGCTTTGGAGATGGGAAACAGTCGGCTATTCGGTAATATGTTGGTTCCCGTACTTCAAAGCGCATTATCCCCCATGAACAGACTCAATCAAACCGAGTCTGCAATTTTCATGTAATTTTGTTGTGATTAATGCTTTCGAGGGATCAAAAGCAAAACATATTCAGTACTGTAAAATATCAACGGCTTGTGCATAGGCTGGTGAACTAAAATTTCAAATCATAGGAGATTAACTGTGTTATAATTGCATAAACACATTTTCTTTGCGTTTCCCTAACATATTGAATTTCAGTGATATTTTGATATTTTAGGTAAAGCATCATCAGCTACACACAGCGTTACAAGTGGAAAGAAAGTACAGATAACAGTAAATAAACTATATCCTGCCTCACCAACACTTACTGTTACATTTAAAAGACAGGTACATTGTATTTATAATTTGAGAACGTTAAAAATCCTAGGGTAAATTCATGTATCAAAAACTAAAGAATTTTTAAGAATTATCAATGTGTATGTGTATTCTAGTATTCAAGTTTTATGAATTATATTCGAGTAGAAAAGAAATAATGCAAGAATATGTGAAACCATGTGATAGCATTACAACTCTATTAATTCTTATATGACAGTGTCCAGATTTTTTTCACTGCAGCTCATACGTCTATCTAACACGTGCTTTAAGCATCATCTTCATTAGAAAGTACTTGAATTCTTAAACCAACAAGCTTGGCGATTTAAATTGTCAAACAAATTAAAGGAAGATGATACGGAAAATGTGTTCTCTGGAAGAAGAAATATGTATATCCACAAGTTTAATAAATTATTAAGAAGGTTGTCAATGAGGGGATATGAAATCAACATTCATATTTCAGTCTTAAAATGCTTATTGCACCACAAAATCACTTCGTAAATCATCACCGTGAAACTGAAGTATGCGAACAATGTCGTATGTGTAGGACACTTCATGGGACAACAAACGAAACAGTTTATATCAACTTCCTTTTATGTGATTATGTAACGAAAATAAAAATACATTGTGAAATCATTTACAGAAATGAAGTTTTCTTCGCGATATGCAGGATGTGTACTTTATAACTGTATATACTAGTATACGTTTCAGGCTATTGCTCCGATAATTTCTGTCAACTATCCTTATTAATATATAATCTACGCTAGAGCTTGTATGTAGGCTTTGATTTCAATAAGTATGCTAAATAACTGCTAGATATAATGGTGACCATGGTGAGACGATATAGATTAGCATGTATGTCAAAACAAGCATATATAATATAGACAAAAAAAGGGTCAAAGAAAAAAGAAAATGATCAAAAATAAAAATAACTTTAAATCATCAACATATTGCATGATGATTAGAGCTTATATATTATATTTGAACAGAATAGCGCCATCCAGATATCAGGATCTACAGCATGTTCAAGTAGTTCACAGTATACAGGCTACTATAGATGTGTGTGGACTTCTAGGAACTCTTTAGATGATGGGTCGTATACATACAGCATTGTTGTTACAACAATCACACAAGCTGCTCCACTTACAGGATCATTCAAAATAGGTATGTTAGTTGTGATTCTTCAATTCAAATATTTTTGTTGATTTTCTATTGTTAAACAACTTCAGATATTGTCTCGGATTTTAGGATAATTTACTTTGATATATGCAATGACAACCCTCAAATCCACTCATTTTTTATAAATTGATTATGGTGTTCATGGTAAGAAACATAATTTATGCAACACTCAATGTATGATAGGTATACAATTTTACAAACTTTATGTTCGTGTAGCAATTGTGGTAGACAGTAACCTGATTTATATCTTTGCACCATTAAAACATCTTGCATAATTTGAATTTTAAGAAAGAATTGTGTTTTGTAAGTAATGCTTTCGCTTAATTCATGTGTTTGTTTGTTTTGTTTGTTATTGTGTTGTTTTTGTTTTTGTTTGTTTGTTTGTTTGTTTCGGTTTTGCTGATGTTGTTTTTTCGAGACATATATATATTTTATTTCAATAAGATAAACTTTGTATTATTTATCGATTATATTTCGATGATAATTTCAGCTTCACCTACTACACCAGTGATTTCAAATGTTGTGCAGTTGAATGCTAGTCGTGAAGTTGTTTACGGAAATGAAGGACAATCTCTGACAATACAATGTACTTCGACTGGAGGATATCCCTCACCAACGGTAACCTGGTATAAGAACAGTATATCTAGCTCTAACCAGTTGTCCACTACAAGTTCAGGGACGTTACAAAGTGACGGTACATACACTGTCACCTTACAACCTACATTTACACCTGCTAGATCAGATGATAGGAAATATTTGATATGTAGATCGTACTATCCACAAGCTGATAGTGCTCAAGTTGGATCAAATAACAAATCTGTGTTACTTTTCCTAAGTTGTGAGTATTAAGCTTAAAACTATTTTTCTTATAATGGACAAGGACACACTGCAGTGAATTTAACACAATGAATTTCTCATACTTGCAGTTGTTTGTCCGTTTGTTTTTTTTGTCAATAACTTTTGCTTAGTGACTGGGATAGGTAGGGAGGGATGGAGGGAGGTATGTATCTCATTCTCAAAAACCATTCCATAGTTTTGGAGAGTTTGCCATTGGAGATTTTGTATGCATAAATTTTGTTCAGAGCATTTCACAAATGTATTTAAAGTATCATCTTTGAACTGTGCATATTAAAAGAAGCGCAGTGCATAAAAAGCATATGCCTAATTTTGATGCTTTAAGTCTTTGTAACTTTGCATCCTAGGATATTATTAAACAAACTATCTTTTTTGCAAAAATGTCAAATTTCACAAAACTTTCACCGCAACTTCATGAGGAATTCATTTTTTCAATTCAAACGAATCATGATAATGATGATTAATTTACAGAATCAGAGGCCTATTAGTTGAATGTATTTTTACGATCATGTATATGTAGTTTTTGTAATATGACTTATGAAATAATAAAAGTTTTGCTGTAACTTTAGCATAGATGGCAGTCGTAATAGCTATGTAGATATTTAGGCTTAATAAGTAGATTGTTGAAACAACAAATTTCTTTTAATAACGGTTATTTCTGTCTTTCCAAGCCTGCAACATTTTCAATTTTGTTGTTTTGGGCTTTCTTTAAGGATTCTTATTTTCTTTCTTTCAGTAAAGCCTAGTCAGCCAACAGTTTCACAGACATCTGTTGTATCAGCTGGTAGTTCTGTAACGGTAAGATGTACAACAAGTGGATGTAGACCAGCAGCCAGTATATCCTGGTTATATCAAGGTGTGACATATAGTGGCAGTACAACAAACACAGCCGATGATGCAACAGAAACATTTACAGTCGTTTCTACGTATACTAGGCAGGTGACAGCTGCAGACAATGGGCAAAGTATACAATGTATAGTTACTCATCCAGCATTAGTGAGTCCCGCACAACTGACTAGATCAACAACTTTTAATGTTCAGTGTAAGTTAATATTAAATTGGCATTTACCGATGTAAACATAATATAATTTATTCAGTATAGTTGTATTTTCTAAATGAAGCTGTGAGTTGAATAAGGCAGAAAAGATAAGATTTTTGGAATATGACAATAATGCATGTCTGAAAATTGTAACAAAATATAAGGGCAGTATTCATAATGCATACATATCATTCCTTACAAAGAAATATCAATATTATATTATTAAAATGGTGTATTGTATGCGAAACAGTCATGTCTTTATTTGATTTAAGCATCATTTCAATTAAGACCACTTTTACGCAAATGTTACATTTCAGTTCAAACCAGCTTTATGCAAATGTTACTGGAAATGAAAAAAATAAATGAGTATAATCATGACATATTTTTACACCAATACATAGCTGCTTTGTACTTCAGTTAACCATTTACAGATATAACTTTGGAAACTTTTATAGTATAGAGCAGTGTGGAAATTAATGACCACAAAAGCGTATATTTTATTTAAATGTCAGTCTCCATATGCATATTGTCTGTTTTGAAACGGAATTCATATAGACTAGAATTACTGTCAACCGAATTCAAACCAAGGACATAGGTTCAAAGCAAAGAATAGTCAATCTTTTGTTTTACTTTCTTCTCTTTTCTTTAAACATTATTTATGTACCTTATAGGTCCATTTTTGAACTAAAAGGGTTTTTTTTAATTTCCAATGCTAAATTTAGAAAAATATAGAACACCTGGTACTGTCTATGTAGAAATATTCGCGGGCTTCATATTTTCGCGATCTTCGCGGTGACATTCAATCTGCGAATTCATGTTTAGCGTGAATATTTCTACACCAATAATTTCTTAATAGATATATTTTTGCTCTTCTAAAGAACAATGTATACTATATGCTCTCAATACATACGATTTTATTTTTCATCAGTTGAAATTGTGTTAGTGAATATCAGTTTGTGTTGTTTGTATTGTTGGTTTAGAAAAAAACAAAATATGATCTGATCGGATGTCAAGACGTTAATGACGCAAACTGTGAAAAATCATGCACGTTTACGGGTATTCTTTTGTGTGCCATAATCTGTCTGGTAGACAACAAGTCTTTTGCTTTGTATTACAGCGTGTTTTTTGACACCGGGTATTGGAAATAACAATGATTTCCCACGACGATTACTGTAATTTTT